GGTTGTTAACCGGGGCTCCTTCCAGGGAGCGGCCAAGCCTCCTGTTCAAGGAGCTTCACTGGCTGCCATTCATTTTCCGGACTCAAGTCAAGGTGCAGGTTCTTACCTACAAAGCCCTGAATGGTTTGGGACCTGCCTACCTTTGTGACCGCATCTCTGTATATGAACCCACACGATCTCTTTGATCATCTGGAGAGGCCCTGCTCACGCTCCCACCTGCATCGCAAGCGCGATTGGTGGGGACGAGGGACAGGGCCTTCTTGGTGGTGGCCCCTCGACTCTGGAACTCACTCCCCAAGGACATCTGGCATGCCTCAACTTTGGCAGTCTTTAAGAGGAGCTTGAAGACGTGGTTGTTCCAGTGTGCCTTCCCAGAATAATGATCCCATAGCACTTTGTCCTCCAAAGCACATTATATTGTTTTAGGTCTGCTCATATGTTCCCACAAACCGCCCATTACTTCTTTCGCCCATGTATTCTTTTCTGTGGTGGCCCCCCGACTCTGGAACACCCTCCCTAAAGACCTTAGACAGGCCCCTACACTGGCAGTCTTTAGAAAGAGCTTGAAGACCTCGCTGTTCCGATGTGCCTTTCCAGATTAGGAATCTCCAATAACAAGTCCTCAAAGCACTTTAGTGGAACTAAGATTATTGCACACCGCACTCTGCACTTGCCCTATAATCCTCGTATACCTCCGGCCACATCAGCACTTTTAATCTTGTACCCAGTACTCTGGCCTGGCCCAGTTTTATTGTGTCTTGATGCATTGTTTATTGCATGTCATTTCATATTGCTTTAACTGTTTTTAATTTGCTTTTAGTGTTATATTGTTGTGTTGTGTTGTGTTGAGGCTTTGGCCTTTGTAAGCCGCATTGAGTCCTTCGGGAGATGCTAGCGGGGTACAAATAAAGATAATAATAAATAATAATAATAATGTCCAGCATTCTAATTGCATTTGGCCTACCCATAGTTTTTAAAGTGTGTTGTCCTATTGATAATGCTTGTGTTACTGTTTTATTGTTTTGTTGTTTTTAATTGTTTGTATTGTTATTGTTATTTCTTGTATTGTTGTATTTTGGGCCTCGGCCTCATGTAAGCCGCACCGAGTCCCTTGGGGAGATGGTAGCGGGATATAAATAAAGTATTATTATTATTATTATTATTATTATTATTATTATTATTATTATAGAGTTCCTCTGGAGGACCTGGCCAATCCCTAGAGAGGCCGCCGTGGGGTCCCACCTTTGTGCCGGCATCTCTCTCTGGCCAAGTCCCAGCAGGAGTCAGCCCTTCGCATCCATTGGGATGGAGACGGGCGCTAACTCCCCTCTTGGCAGCGAAGGAGGGGGTTCTCTGGGGCTTTGGGGCATAGATCGGCAGGGAGGGGACAGGGCGCTCCGGACTACAACCCCCATTATTATTATTATTATTATTATTATTATTATTATTATTTGTACCCCGCTAGCATCTCCCACAGGACTCGATGCGGCTTACAAAGGCCAAGGCCTCAACACAACAACAACAGACAATAACAATACGATACAAAGCAAATTAAAAACATAAGCAATAACCAAACATTACACTATTATGCAATAAAACCAGGGCCGGGCCAATGATGGGTACAGATTAAAAAGTGCTGGGTGTGAGAGGTAGTATGTTGGAATTCTTGGCAAGTGCAATGTGCAGAGAGTCTTAAACTCCAGTAAAGTGCTTCTGGGATGTAGTGCTGGAGGTTATCCTATTCTGGAAAGGCACATCAGAATAGCCAGATCTTCAAGCTCTTCCTAAAGACTGGCAACGTGGGTGACATTGTCTTTGGGGAGGGCCACACATGCCTCTCCCACCTCTAGACAGGCCTGTGACCTTGAGTCGGCTGAGTGGGCCCATAGGAAGATGGCACCTGTCAGTTGACGACAGTTAGTTTCATAGAATCCTTGAGTTGGAAGAGACCTCGTGGGCCATCCCGTCCAACCCCACTCGGCCAAGAACTTTAAATAACATTAACTTGCTGCTCAATCACTTAAAGTGTTCGGTAACGTAAATGCTTTATTAGAAGACAGAATCTGGGTTCACAGACACAACAACCGTAATAGTAATAGTGACAGGACCTCAAAATGGAATGGCAAAGGCTCTGGCATCAGCCAGTCCAGGCGGTCCCAGGAGGATGGGCACACTGGGCGCCGTGCCAAAAGATCTCAGCCGGCATTTGAGAATGATAAACATTGAGAAAACTGCGATCTGTCAACTGCAAAAGGCCTCCTGACTTGGATAATAATAATAATAATAATAATAATAATAATAATAATAATAATAATAATAATAATAATAATAATAATAGAATGAATAGCAAAGACGAGTATTCTGTCTGAAAGTATTTGCTTGAGGGTTTCCATTTTCAAGAGGGTTTCAAAGGTTTACAAGTTGATGGAGGAACATCCAAGGGATTCCTGACTTGGCACAAAGGAAGGAAGGAAGGAAGGAAGGAAGGAAGGAAGGAAGGAAGGAAGGAAGGAAGGAAGGAAGGAGGGAGGGAGGAGGAAACACTGAGTGTGGCTGAGGTTGGAGAGTTCTTCTGATCTATAATAATAAATCTAACAACTCACCGAAGTTGTTATGGTATTATAATAATGCTAATATTAGAATTAGGATTTGGTGCGATCTTCTGGGGCGGCCCTGCTTTCGGTCCCGGCCGGCCTGCGCCACGGGCCATGGTGCCCAGCGTGGAGAGACAACCAGAGAAGACCAGGCGGAGCTGCACATATTTATGGAGAAGGTTCCAGGTTGGGGTGAGAAGCCCCAGCAGATCAGGCCACGGGAGGGAGGAAGGGTCTGTTCCTCCCCATTTCCTGCCTCAGTAAATACATTGGGGAGAGAGGGAGGCCTTGAAGTGGCGAGGGAGGGAACCCCAAATGAGGCAGCTGTTGTTGTTGTTAGGGCTTTGGAGGGGGTGGGCCTTGGAGAGGCCCCTGGGTGTCCATCCACCGGGAGACAGAGCCCCAGGCCGCAGGGCAGGCAGGAAGTGCTCGCCCTGGTTGCTGTAGTAGCAGGCAAGGGGCATCTGGTGGAAGGCTGTGGTCCAGATGTGGCCGAAGGGCCAGAGGAAGCAGTCCATTTCCACCTGAAGAAACACCAATGCTGCTGCTGCAGACAGCAAGGCCGAGCAGAAGGGGTGGATGCTCCTGGTCTCAGCCCTCTTTCATTGGAGGCAGGATGGCCCTTTGCCAAGAGGGCTTGGGGGGTGCCTTCCTCCCTTCCTTCCTTGGACCGGGGGGCCCTGGGTGGGTCCTTCCCAACTCTGTGAGGAAACCAGATCTGCTCCCCCCCTCGTGACAGGGTGGGAAGGCGGGAAGACTTCCCTCTTTGCAGCAGCTTGGAACTGAAGCCAGGCACTTGCGGATACAACCCAGTGGGAAGTTTACACCGATTTGAACTTCCAGTGTTTGGTAATATGGGAAGTTTTTAAGGATTGTTGAACCTCTCTAATATGTGTTTATTTACAGTTTTTAATTATTGGTTTGTATATGTGTAATGCAATGTGAGCCGCCTTGGGCCCGTCCTGGAGAAAGGCCTCGTCGTAATCTCCTTCGTGATACATAAACAATACATAAAATCCTCTGCCTGTCAGTCCATAGGGCCGCCTCCCGACAGATGGCCATATGGACAGATAGGCAGATCATCATGCCTATGAAGCTGGGTGGCCATCTGCCAGGAAGGCTTGGATGGTGCTTTTCCTGCGATGGCAGAAAGGGGGTTGGTGTCAGGAGCCAAAGATAGCGTCAAGAAAAGTGCCACGTTTCTCTGTCTCTCGATCATGGATATTACAGTCTCAATCAGATGGCGAGATGCACACGCATACACATGATGTCGAAACCTTCCTTCCCGTTTTTCTCCTCAGAGCTTGTCACCTCTGCTCCAATGCCTCTCTCTTTCTGCTCACAAACACCCTCTTGTTTTCCCTGTTGTTCTGTCAACAATCCCTTGTGTTCTCTTTGTTCCAAAGGAAAGCATAACTATTCTTTCTCTGCAATTCTGAAAGCCATTTCTTCCCGTTCTGTTCAAGTCTTCTTCCCACTCCCATCTTTTCAGGTCAACTTGATCTCTTTCTACCTCTCACCCAGATGTATTTTCCCGGCACTCTGCAACCACTGTCTATCTACTAGGGCTGGGCGGTTTCGTTTCGTTAATTCGTAATTCGTTAATAATTCGTTAATTTTTTCAATTACAAAACGATAACGAACCATTCTGGAGCAATTTTTTTAAAAAATGAATTTTTAAACACGTTTTGCAAATGCTTCGTATTTCGTTATTGTATTCGTTTCGTTATTGTTCTGAGGTCGTTTCGTTATTATTTCCGCATGTCTGGGGCAAGTTTTTTGTTTAATTAGTGAAAAAAAATTATAATATCACACCAACAGTCAATAACAGAGGGAGAGGGAAGCTTCAGAAGTTTCTGGAGGTTTGTTAGCGTATTTCGCGGTCGCGTCCGCCATTAATGAATCGATTCGTTATTGTTTCGGAAATCGATTCGTTAATGTTTTGTAATTTTTTTCACATTTACGAAATTTCGTAAATATCGAACTTTTTAAAAGGAAAATTTTGTAATTATTTTAAATATCGAAACAAAAAAACCCCCCAAATACAAATCGATTTTAGAAACAAATTTTTCTGTTGTTACCCAGGCCTACTATCTACATTCCTTCGCTCCTTTCTGTTCCTCTTTGCTCTTTTCTCTTTCCATTCCTCAGTAACCCATTCTAATTTGTGAAACTCACTTTACACATTTTTGGCCCCAACACTTGACCTTTTGCTTCTTTCTTGACCAGGGAAATGAGGATTCTATGGAGCCACCTCTTGGGTAGAGGAAGGAAACCAGGAATGTATGAAGAAATCATCTCAAGGTGAAGATGTTGCTGAAATTGTGACCTGTCTTACAGACATGAAAAGAAAACAGGAAGAGTCAAGTTTCTGTGTTGCAATTAAACACTCATCTCACTGTTAATATGAAGGAGTGTGGAAAGAGTTTCAGTCGGAGGGATTCTTTTCAGCAACATGAAAGGACTCACATGGGGGAGAAACCCTATAAATGCCTTGAGTGTGGACAGAGCTTCACTCGTAGTTCATCTCTACATTCACATCAAAGGACACACACTGGGGAGAAACCCTATACATGCCTGGAGTGTGGAATGGGTTTCAGTCGGAAGGATTCTCTTCAGCGACATGAAAGGACTCACATGGGAGAGAAACCCTATAAATGCCTCAAGTGTGGACAGAGCTTCATTCAAAGTTCAACTCTACGTTCGCATCAAAGGACTCACACTGGGGAGAAACCCTATACATGCCTAGAGTGTGGACAGAGCTTCACTCAGAGTTCAGGTCTCCATTCACATCAAAGGACTCACACTGGGGAGAAACCCTATAAATGCCTCGAGTGTGGACAGAACTTCATTCAAAGTTCAAATCTACGTTCACATCAAAGGATTCACACTGGGGAGAAACCCTATAAGTGTTGGGAATGTGGACAGAGCTTCACTCAGAGGGGACATCTACAGAGACATCAGAGGACTCACACTGGGGTTAAACCTTATAAATGCCTCGAGTGTGGAAAGAGTTTCACTCATAGTTCAGATCTACGATTACATCAAAGGACTCACACTGGGGAGAAACCCTATACATGCCTGGAGTGTGGACAGAGTTTCAGTCGGAGGAATTGTCTTCAGCAACATGAAAGGACTCACATGGGAGAGAACCCCTATAAATGCCTGGAATGTGGACACACCTTCACTCGCAGTTCATCTCTACAATCACATCAAAGGACTCACACAGGGGAGAAACCCTATACATGCCTGAAGTGTGGACAGAGTTTCAGTCGGAGGGATTCCCTTCAGCAACATGAAAGGACTCACATGGGAGAGAAACCCTATAAATGCCTCGAGTGTGGACAGAACTTCATTCAAAGTTCAACTCTACGTTCGCATCAAAGGACTCACACTGGGGAGAAACCCTTTACATGCCTGGAGTGTGGAAAGAGCTTCTGTCATAGTTCAACTCTACGTTCGCATCAAAGGACACACAGTGGAGAGAAACCCTATAAGTGCTTAGAGTGTGGATGGAGCTTCACTGAGGGTGGAAGTCTACGTAAACATCAAAGGATTCACACTGGGGAGAAACCCTATAAGTGCCTAGAATGTGGACAGAGCTTCGCTCACAATGGAAATCTACGTAAACATCAAAGGATTCACACTGGGGAGAAACCCTATAAATGCCTGGAGTGTGGACAGAGCTTCACTCAGAGGGGACATCTACAGAGACATCAAAGAACTCACACTGGTGAGAAACCCTATAAATGCCAGGTGTGTGGACAGGGCTTCACTCATATTGCAGGTCTGCATTCACATAAAAAGACTCACACTGGGGAGAAACCCACCCTATAAATGCCTAGAATGTGGACAGAGCTTCACTCAGAGTGGAAGTGTATGTTCACATCAAAGGACTCACTGGGGAGAAACCCCATGAAAGCATGGCGTGGTGGAAGGGATTTTCAATGGAGACAACAGTGGCATTTGACCGAAATACAACTTTCCAAGCTTTTCGTGTTGTTTACACACTCTAGACATGCATCCTTTCTGACATGGTAGTTCAGTTTAAGAAACCAGAGATTAAACCAATCCCATATCAGTTTGTCAATATATATAATATAATAATATACAGAGATAGGTTTCATATATTCTTTTTTGTATATACAATTCTTTTGTAGTTTCCTCTATAGCCGCTCCATGTGGTTTTCTCATCACAAAGGGGTTTTATTTTCTTAATTAGAAACAAATTATGCATAAAAGATTACAGCTGAACCTACACTTGAACTTACCAGCACTTCACCAGTGGACTACAGTGGACACGCGTGTGTCATGGCACAGAGTTTGGAAGGCTCTGATCGAAGAGAAGACAATGGCAGTGCTCATTAATGCTGACAAACGAGAGCACACTCTTGGGGTCCTCTTATCATATTGGGGTGCCTTTGCAGAAAGGCCCGGAAATATTGGACTCAGAAGCATACGATGCTGGACACAAATGGTTAAGGTTTCGTTTTCAATGAGAGCAGAGTTTTGTTTCGTATGAATGCTGGAGAGTCACCTAGAAACAGAATTGGGAAGATGCCTCGAAGAGAGGATCACTGCAGCAAGCGGCGTTTCGCCTCAGAAATGGAAGATGTCATGATCGCGCAGGAAGAAAGGTCGAGGCCGCCTTATCACTACTTCACAACAACAACAACAACAGGGGCAAATGTCAGTTGTGGGGTGTATGAATTAGAAGATTTGCCAAAGCAGAAGTGTGGTTGCGTAGGATTATCTGAGGGGAACAGAGCCATTAGGGACACAACTCAGGGCCAGGTTCTTAGAATTAGACCCAGGTCTGTTTGCTCGTTTTGTGGTGTACTTTGTAGATCTATATAGGAGTTTTTTGGTGGTGTGTGTTTTCTGATTTATTTTTGTAGTTGTGGCAGCCACTCGTGAGCTGCCCAATTTTAGCGTGTATGTAATGATTCTTACCTCTTAGGCCGAAGGAGAAGCCTGAGATGTCAGTAGGCAGGCCTCCATTTTGGGAGTGTAAGCACAGGAAGCAGACATCTTGGAAGAGTAAAATGAGAAGAGGGGGAGGAGCTGGAGAGCTCTCTGGATTGGTTAGGACTGATGGGAGGAGTTAAGTCCTGAGAGAGAAAAGTGTCAACTTGAGAGAAAGAAGAGAGATTGATTTTGGGAACAGAAGAGAGAGGAGAGGTAGATTTTTGAGCTTAGATTTTTCTGTCGGAGATTTTTAGATTTTTCGGTCAATGAGTCGGCGGGAGACTCGGCCCCCCCTCTAACCTGCGGCCTATCCCCAGGTACATCTGTGACAGGCAACCAGTTTCCTCCCCTCCTACTCTGGTTTTAGTGAATGCTAGGTCCATAAGGAACAAAACTGCTACCATCAGGGACTTTCTTAATGATCAGGGAGCTGACCTAGTGTGTATTACAGAAACTTGGATCCAAGAGGGGGATGAGATCCTACTCCAGGAAATAACATCTCCAGGTTATGCAATCACTCACCAGATGCGGACTGGGAGGCGGGGTGGGGTGGCTATGCTAGCCTGAGAAAGTTTCTCTCTTAGGGCAGTTCCTGTGCTGAACATCTCTGGCATTGAAAGTGTTGGCCTGGTGTGGGATTCCTGTGAGAGCATAGCCTTTCTGCTGGTGTACCGTGCGCCCAGCGCACCAGCAGACAGCCTATCCCAGCTGCTTGAGACTGTGTCGGAGTGGTCCTTGAGGTTTCCCAGACTTATCGTCTTGGGGGATTTCAACGTCCACGCTGATGCAGACTCTTGTTCATCAGCAGCTATGGACCTAGTGTCTACCATGGAGACACTAGGACTCTCCCTCTGTACTACTGGGCCACGCATCGGGCGGGGCACACATTAGATTTGATTTTCAGCGTGGGAATTCAAGTGACCCAAGCCTCCACAATAGAGGTTCCATGGTCGGATCACTGCGCCCTGAGAGTCCGGTTGGAGCACGCCTACCCATGCTGCAAGGGCGCCGAGCCAATTTGGGCTCGCCCAAGGAGACTTATGGAACCCAGTAGGTTCCGGAATGCTCTGAGGGATCTGGAGCCTGCCAGCGACTCGATCGATGTGCAGGTGGACACATGGAACATCAGGCTATCCAATGCACTCGACGAGATCGCCCCTAGACGCCCTCTCAGACCCCGCCGAAATCGGTCTCCTTGGTTCACCGAGGAACTTCGACTGATGAAGCGGGAAAAGAGACAGCTGGAGGGCGTGTGGCGAGAACTCCGTGACGGAGCATCGAGATCAGCTTATGAGGCATTCAGGGAATCCTATGAGCATGCTATCACTGAGGCAAAGCGAGTATATTATGCTTCTTTGATAGCGTCTGCTAGCTCACGCCCGGCAAAATTGTTCAAAATAATTCGATCTCTAACAACGGTTCCTACCGTCCCAAAAAGTGGTGATCAGGCCCCTTCAGCCGAGGTTTTTCAGAGCTATTTTGCAGACAAGATCTCGCTACTTCGCCGGGACCTCCCCGCCACAATTGATACAGTGATAGAACTTGAGACCCCGTGGCCACTTGCTGGGCCCATCCTCGACCGGTTCATCCCGCTGGACGCAGGGGCTGTCGATAGGCTCATAGCTGCAGCTAGACCGACCACGTGCTCCCTCGATCCGTGTCCCTCTTGGTTGGTGAAATCCTGCTTGGAGGGATTACGTGACCCTCTGTTGAAGATCATAAACAGCTCCCTTGAGCAAGGAGTCTTTCCAGAGGGTTTAAAAGAGGCGGTGGTCTCTCCTTTGCTGAAGAAACCAGATTTAGATCCCTCGGTTCCCTCCAGTTACCGCCCAGTTTCAAATCTCTCGTTCCTGGGCAAGGTGATTGAGAGGGCAGCAGCGGAGCAGTTGCAGCAATTCCTAGACGACACAGCCGGACTAGATCCCTTCCAGTCCGGCTTCCGTGCGGGGCACGGGACAGAGACTGTGCTGGTCTCCATCACGGATCACCTTCGATGCCAGCTTGACCAGGGCGGGTCAGCGCTGCTTGTGCTATTGGATCTCACAGCAGCATTTGACACAGTCGACCACAATCTCTTGACCCACCACCTTGCTGTTGCTGGAATCAGGGGGGCAGCTTTAAACTGGCTGTCCTCCTTTCTTCACAACCGTGGACAGCGAGTGGAGAGGGGAGGCCTGGTCTCTGAGAGGTCCCCCCCTCTCTCTCTTGTGGGGTTCCTCAGGGGGCCATTCTCTCCCCTCTGTTGTTTAACATCTATATGCGACCACTTGCTCAGCTGGTTCGAGGTTTTGGGCTTGAGTGTTATCAGTATGCCGATGACGCTCAGCTGGTGCTGAAGATGGAAGGCCGACCGGACTCTGTACCCGATTGTTTCCATCAGTGCCTCGAGGCCGTTACTGGATGGCTGCGTGCCAGCAGGTTGAGGGTGAATCCAGCAAAGATGGAGATCCTATGGCTGGGTGGACCGGGCAGTGGAGACATCCATCTGCCCACCCTGGATGGCGAGGCGTTACGCCCGTCATCATTGGTAAAGAGTCTGGGAGTCCTTTTGGACCCTCTGCTGACAATGGAGGCCCAGGTCTCCGCCGTGAGCAAAACCGCCTTCTTTCACCTGCGGCAGGCTAGACGGCTGGCCCCCTACCTGTCCAGGGACGACCTAGCTACGGTGATCCAGGCCACGGTCATCTCAAGACTGGACTACTGTAACGCCCTCTACATTGGCCTCCCTCTGTCGGTGATTCGGAAGCTCAAGTTGGTACAAAACGCAGCTGCTCGGCTTCTTGCGGGAATTCCGATGAGATGCCACATAACACCAATCTTACTACAGCTGCATTGGTTACCAATTGAGCACCGGATCACTTTCAAAGTGATGGTACTCACCTTTAAGGCCTTGCATGGTCTGGGGCCAATGTATCTGAGGGATCGTCTCACCCCCTACCAACCCCAGAGATCCCTCCATTCTGAGGACCAAGATCTATTGGAAGTCCCCAGTGTCAAGACCTTGCGTCTAGCGGCAACCAGACGCAGAGCCTTCACAGCAGTGGCGCCATCAGTCTGGAATGCTCTGCCACCTGAGGTTCATGCCCTGCGGGACTTACCAGCTTTCCGCAGGGCATGTAAGACATACCTGTTCCGACAGGCTTTTAATGTTTGATACTGTTGTTTTTAAATTGTTTTAAATTGCTTTTAAACTTTGTTAGATTTTAGCTATTCTTGTAAGCCGCTCCGAGCCCCAGGGAAGGGAGTGGCCGCATAGAAGTTCGAATAATAAATAAATAAAATAAATAAATGTAGTAGCCTGGGTGCTTATGTGGGTTTTTACACAAGTGGTTTGCTCTCTGAGTTAGAGTAGATTAGCTTTCAGAGGACTCTGCTTAGAGTGTAGCTAATTGCTCTGTGGACAACCTGGTTAGGTTAGTCTGGTGAACTCACTGCTACTGTGTTATTGTAGAGTGAGGAGTTTTACTTGTATCTAAGTCAAAGAACCTGTTTAAAGTAACCATCAAGAATATTGTACTTCAGTAACCATTCAAGCTTGTGTGCCTCATTAAAGAAGATAGTTGTTTGTTCTATATTATCAGTAAACATATTCTCTAGTTCAACTTTTAAAGGAGCCTCAGTAGTGATTCATTCCTGTGGGAATAATTCTAGCTGTTTTATCAACTTTACATCACAGTCATCTCAGGGAGCAAAGGGAGAGCTGGTGGGCAGGAAGAAGTCTACCTCAGGAAATCATTCTGTAATATCCTAAAGTATTTTAGGTGGTGGCAGCGAATCTACCAAAGTACATACACATTACCTCAGATATATGTATAAACGCTCCGTGCTAGAATCATATTCCATCATAGTGGTGTCCAATTGTGGGATTGAAAACTATGATCCTTTAAACTGATGACCAGCAGTGTGATTTAGAACAGCCCACATATAGTAACACCATTGTCAGGATAGTGATGTGTTGCAGTGTACATACATACACACACACACACATTACTATGTTCCAGTTTTTAATACGTGTGTTTGCTGAAAGGGGGTTTAGAAGGGTCAAAGTATCAGAGACTGGGAAGACAGGCAGAGCGAGGGTTTCATAGGAAACCGATGGTCCTTTTGGATATGGTTTTCCCCTTCTAGGTTGGTCGCATGGATCTGGGTTGGATTTTCATGGTTCAGTTCTTAAATACATACCAAGTTTTCATCATCATCATCATCATCATCATCATCTGTTGCTATTTTGGGTACGACTTTGGTTTTCGTTACCACACGTCTGAACCCAGCATTTCCAGACAGCTGTCCTTCCATATCTGTCGTTTGCATGAATGTTGAGGAAGATTGTAATATTAATAGTAACAGTTTTATTTCTTTCCCTGCCTCTCGTGGCTCAAGGCAGGTTACAACACAGCTAAAAACACACAATCGGCCAAAACATTCTTTAAAATACAGGTATTAAAGCATATTTCTATAAGATGCACATCCGAATATATAGAGCAAAGGTTAAAACACAAGACTTGATTTGAAAATGCAGAATCCAGACTGGATGGGTAAGACTAAATTCACGGGAAAAAATCTATTCCCAGCCCCACCGTCTGATTATTATCATCATCATCATTATTATCTGGGAACTCCCTGAGTTGGACAATTTTGAAGATGATGATGATGGTGATGATGATGATGATGATTATTATTATTACAGACACAACAATCGTAATAGTAACAGGACCTTTAAAATCAAACTGGAAAGGCTCTGGCATCAACCAGTCCAGGTGTTCCCAGTGGTAATGGGCACACTGGGTGCCGTGCCAAAAGATCTCAGCTGGCATTAGAGAACAATAAAGATTGACAAAATCACAATCTGTCAAATCTAAAAGGCCTCCTGAAATGGATCTGCGTGCATCATTCGAAAATACACCACACAGTCCTAGACGCTTGGGAAGTGTTTGACTTGTAATTCTGTGATACGAAATGCAACATGCAGATCTCGTTTGCTGTGACATGCTGTGTGTTTGTGTCAGTAAAATAGTAATAATAATAATAATGGAATGAATATCGAAAAGGAGTAGTCTGTCTCTGAAAGTATTGGCTTGAGGTTTTCCATTTTCAAGAGGGTTTCAAAGGTTTACAAGCTGATGGAGGAATGCAGTGACTTCCCTTTCTGTTAGGCTAGGAAAAGCCTAGAAAAGTAGGCCCAGGAAGTTGGGCAGCCATTTTGGAAAGGGTGCCGGGGGAATCCATTTTAGTTACTCATTTCCTGAAGGGGGCGTGTTTAGAAAGAGCAGTTTTGGAGGGAAATGAG